AGCGGATCGGGGCAAAGGTAAACACAACATATGTATTCATTTTGGATGAAGCTGACGACCTGTAAAGCCCAAGATTCCCTCCACCTTTGCATCAAATATCGCATGCTTCGCGATGGTACGTTTTCTCGGTGTACACATGGAGCACGCTGTTATTCAGCGTATCTATAAACAGAGGTCGAAGCACTCGTGGACCAGGCCATCCACCAGGTCTTATCCGAATCCCCAGTCACTGTATCGTCACATCGGAGTCGACTTGCAGCCCACATCGTCCAGGTCTTAGAGAGCGACCCAGCTTGGGTACAACCATACAGCGTTACCGGGGAGCTGTTGGTCCCGAAAATAGAAACTGAAGGGGAGGTTGGCGAGCTACTTGCTCGCGTTATCTCGGTACGTAGTTGAGCTTCGTCCAGGCTTTTAATCTCATTTATGCCGTGTCCTTGAAGCTCCTGAAGAGCAGCCGCCCCGCGGATGTGAGCGGAGGCACTTGGCGAGAAATAACCATCCCTGTTGACATCCCACTGATGACTGTACGACTTTGTCTCCTTTTTTCGCTCTTGATTGATGATCTTTCGTGTGTTAGATTTTGGCGGCAGCGCGTCTGACTATCTTGCCAACGCCATTCCCTACCAGTGCGCCATCATCTAGGGAGCGTCTGCCACTATACGCGGGCCAACCTGTCTCGGCCAATCTCACTATCCAGACATCCCTCCATTGGGGCTCAGGAGACCGCAGTCGCAAAAGTTATCGGTTACGCTTTGACGTTGAAGAGCTCATTCGCGACTGGCTCGTAAGCGGGCGGAAACGCGGTGACTTTGAAGTCAAGGTGAACAAGCTGCTGTTTTAACCAACCCGACGCATCAACTCATGCCACACGTCTCATCAGGATGGCGAGACATACTCGGTGCCGATAACTCTCATCGCGCTGCATCACGGCGAACTTCCGTTACCCAAGGTTATCGTGACGCCACTGCCTATGGCAGGTGAGATGACCATGGGTTCGCTGTCCATTCCGGCTTGCGAAACATACCAGGTGCATGGAGCAGAGAAGGTGTTGGTGCTGCCGAGAGGGGGTAGAACCACGTTCGTAGTGAGTATGGGCGAGGGAGTTTCATGAGGTCCTGGTATAGATATTCGTCGTTTTAACTTATTTCTCTCATTCCGTCTCGTGTCAATACTTCCTTGCACTGTCATTCAGGTAATCATACATAAGAGCACGTACGGTGACAGGTTTAAGATACCGTCGAAGCTGTCCGACCCTGCGCGTATCCGAACCACACCCCCGCCACGAGTAAGGCGTTGGAGGAGCACAATAACGCTGAAGATAGGTTGGTAGATGGAAAAACGTTCCACGCATACTCGATGATTGCGAGAAGGGCTAATCTGAAAACAATAAGGATATATGTCTTTGCTAGCAGATGGATGTCCGGGAACGTACCTGACGACGACGGGATAGCGCGTTCTCCATGCAAGGAAGGGAAGCTGGTGCGCATACCAGGAATAAAATTGGTAATGAAGTGATCTCGCGAACAATATCCCAATCAAGTTGGATGTGAATAGGATAGTGGTGACCTCTGTGGACAAGATCATCAATGGTATAGAAAGGAACAAGGACCGGCACGTAGAGGGCTTACCATCGGGTGACATGGACGGACTTGGGGGCTGCATCGGGAAGCGTACAGCTCGTCTCATAATGGCAACAACACCTCCTTCCTTCCGGGTCCACCTGAAAAGACCGAAGGCGACAAGCACGCTGGCGTGACCGAGCAGCAACGTCTTCGCGAAGGCTGGACTGAGGAACTTCTCCTCGTCTACAAAGCGCCAATTAACGGTCCATTTGTAGAGGAAGACGCGGGAGAGGTCGAATGCGTTCTTAAGGTACGACCAAGGGTACGTTTTCAGAAAGCTGTTGGCGAGGAGCACTTGTATTGCAACCATCGTAAAGACGAGGCGGAAAGTACTGGCGATGCCTCGACGTTTGACGAGGATGACGAGAATTCCGGGGAGGTAAAGGAAGTTGGACATCTTGATGGACAACGCGACACTGGATGGGACGTTGGTGAGAGAAATTTCGAAAGCAGGCGCGTACGCACCTGAATAGAGTTGTTCCGAGATCTTCCAATCCGCCAGCGTATGCAAACACGGACATCTGAGCGAGGACAACAGCCCAGCAATCGTTGAAGAGCCTAAGAGCGAATATGGAGTGCAGCCGTTTGCTCAAAGGCAGAAGGAAGACGATCCAGTTGGGAACCCCGCCAGCTTGGTGGTAGATGGCACAGGTCAGTGCAAGCGAAGCGATGTACAGCGTCGAGTAGATTTGCTGAGCAGCAGAGATATCTTTCCCCGAGGATGTCATTTTATACAAGAGCTCGTGGACGTGGACATGTCCGGCAGGATATCTGCACAAATGTAAGTCGAGCAATGCTCATATCAGCGAAGTCAACTTACACAAGAGGTCCTGTGGGACCAGTGATGAGAGAGTAATCCCTTTCACCCTTGAGGTAAAGTTCTATGTGATACATGTATGTCTCCCAATCGATCTCGGTGTCTGGGAGGGTATATTGGCCTATGGACACGATGAAGAGTGGGGTAACGTACAGGATATGAATCGAACGATGAGCTGGGTGAGAACAGCATCGCCGAGGATAACGAGTGTGGCGAGAGTCCAGAAGTATTTTGGATCCGTAAGAAACCGCCGGGCGAGCTGGACGGTGGAGGAGAAACGAGAAGTCGACATAGGGTTACCACGAACGTGTCCGACTCGCCACCTCAAAACGCGTCGCGTTGCGGAAACGTGACCACCAACTTGCACTAAATTCTATTACTTACACGGATTCTGAAGAATCCCGGAAAAGTATGACTTTTCATGAAATAATGTACATACACGGTCGAATACGATCTGCTTGCAGCGGAAGTCTATGCTTTTGCCAAGGCCTACAGATGCGATATACCGTCGACCTCCGCCTCTCCATCTCGCAACCCCTCTATGAACTCTTCGTGGTAAGTGTTCTCATCCCCCGGTAGCACCGCGCTCGGCCCTAACGCCTTGATGCTGTCCAAAACATATTGCCCCACGAAGCCCAACTTCGACATATCCTGTTCCGCAAAGATCATAGCCGTAAGGTACCCATCGGAGTAGCCCCTCGTAGTCGGTTCGACGGACGTCGCGTTGAGAGGAGGAGAGCCAGTCCAATCGACAGAAGAGTTGGTGCTTCCACCCCCAGATCCTGATCCAGCAGTCGCAAAGAATTGAGGGTCCTCTATTGCATCGTCCATAACATCCCGAGCGAAAGGTCTGGTCTCAGCCACGGTAGAATCAGGGACAGTCGTGAGGCCCTGCGCGCCCACGTCTGAAGGAGATCCGGAAGCACGCGGCTGGCCATAGGAGAAGAACGTAGAAGGTAGATTGGTACCGGCAGATGCGAGGAAGCACCACCCAGGATCTTCCATGCACCCTTCCTTGTCGTATGCTGTAAACGACCGTCAGCCTGAAGGTCTGGTACGACAGTAAAGCACAGACACCAAAAACTCCATCCGGCTGCGACTTCCGTGTAGATGTCCATTTGAGTTTGGCAAAACTCTCGCCTGCTTTCGGCCTGGTCGGACTCCTGAGCAAGGCTTTCTGCGGTGAGTGCGCACGACCATTCGCCAACGATCACATTTCGACGCGCTTGAGCAGACGCCGTCCTGAGCGAGTTAGCAATGGAGCCTTTGATGTTCGCCATGTGGTCGTGTGCTGCCATAGTCTCGTCCGAAGGTGTAAAGACGAAATAAGAATGGTAGTCTTGCACCACAAAATCCGTCCTCGCCGCGACGAAGGCACTGAACCGGTTGAGGTCGAAGCCGTCGTGGAGGTAGAGCGGAAAAGAAGACGCCGTTGGAGAAGACTGGCGCAATGTTGTGATAGCTCGTGTGTCTGTAAGTTATCTCCTGTCAGTCGAGCACGTAGAGGGAGAATGGTCGGGTTAACGTACAGAAATCCGCCAAACTAGGATCGTTGTGAGGCTCGTTGAGCATCTGCACGCCGACAACATTGTTCACCTGGCTCAGCTGCTGCACAAGGAATGTCAAGACTGTCATTGTCATGACTTGGTCCGCCGGATTGGTAAACAAGTTTGTCTGGCCGTCAGAGATCCCAGAATGCTGCTGCCCGTTCTGACTTCCCGGGGCTCCGTGGAGATCCACCAAAACGCCGATTCCAAAACTCCCGGCCATGTTGATCGCCCGTACCACTTGTGACCACGCGTTGCGGTAAACGTCCGCAACCGCGGCGAAAGGCGTTCCAGCACAAAACGTAGGACCCAAGCTCCAGTATCCGATGGGTAGACGCACAGTATTAATCCCAATGCTGGCCAGATGTTGGAAATCTGATTCATCGATGAATGTATCCCAGTGACGTTCGAGGACGGAGCGCGCGTTATCGACTGAGCCCCAACCAGACGCGATATCAAGCTCTGAGAGGTGCTTCCCGGCGGCACATTCGAAAACAGAAGGAGTCATCCATTGTTCATGTACGAACCTGATATATATCCAAATGAGAACACTATTCTTGCGCAGAGAATCAGTAGCGACGTACCACGATCCTAAGTTGACGGCCTGCTGTTGACGGTAGCGGTAGACGGTCGATGCCCGTTGATCAAATGGTGGAAACGCCTGCACGAAGGTGTTTGGTGTCGAGTAAGGCTCAACAGGACAGGATTCAGCGCCAGCGTCGTCGGACCAGGCTGTTTGAGAGGCGGTATTGGCTTGACCTGGAGGATCTGAAACAGGTGGTCCGCTTCCGTCTTTCGGGGACGTAAGAAGAACGGGAGCCACGTCCGCTATTTCGAACCGAGGGGTGACATAGGAGAGAGCGTGGCCGAACCAGAAGAAGAGAACGAACGAATGTAGGAGGACCATGGCGGTTTGTGTTAACATCAACTTGATTGAACCGCGCAAGGTACCTTCCTCCGCAACCTTGGACTTTTCCGGTCATGTATGCAGCACCGCCAACAACTTCTACATGCCCCATGGCTGAGTTGGTTACAGCGTCCGACTGTTAAGTATATCTTGGAATCGGAAGGTCGTGAGTTCGAGCCTCACTGGGGCAGATATTTTGGCCGCCTACATGCTGTGGCTGTGATGATGAGATTATCAAAATACAAGAAATTATAATAGTACTCGTTTTGCATCTTGTACTTACTTGTATTAAGTAGCGACTCGAAGGCCTTGTTCGCTGAGGCTATGATATAATTTTGGGCGTCCTCTGCTTGCGAAGACGCCATCGGCCTAAGGCCCTAATTTGGCATCCTCCGATTGTTCCCCGAGGAAACGGTGGGATAATGTATGATTTGGCGCCCAACGCGAGAACCTAGCGTTCCTTAGACGGCTGTGGGACGAGGTAACGTGGAATCGTGGATGTAATCACCAAGGAGATGCGCCGACAATGCGCGTGCAATGCGGAGTCGCGGACAGCATAGTCGTGCACGCGCTGCTTATTCGGGGTCGTACAAGTACAAAGGTTACTCTGCTTGGCTTCTTCCGCTTCGCCCACAACGGTCTCCGCGGGGGCCCTCACGCAGATTTCGCCTCCGACTCCCGCGCGATGAAAGTCTCCATGTACTCGACCAGCTTGTCCGCGTCGGCCTCGGTGACCGCGTTGTAGAGTGAAACGCGAATGCCTGGTGGGAGGGAGGTTTCTCAGTGATCGCGCAGCAGGGAAACACAGTCAGAACACACGTACCGCCGACCGAGCTGAGCGCGGAAGTGCGAAAGGGGGGGGTGCTTTGTGAGCTTGGTATCTGGGGAGGACAGAGCGTGGGGGCTTACCGATGGCCCTTCAACGCTGCCATACCCTCTTTTTCGGCACCTTCCAGGAAGCGCCGCTCCGCGCCGTCTCCCAGGACGGTGAAGACGACGTTCATCCAGCTGCCCGAGCCCTTCTGCACCGTTCCCTGCATCACGCCCTTCTCCTCTCCCTTGCCGAGGACGTCGTACACCTTCTGCGCCTTCCTCTTGTTCACCTCTTCGAAATACGCCATGCCGCCGAGCTCGGCCATGCGCTCGAGCACGAGGCCCGAGATGTAGACCGCGAGCACGGAGGGCGTGTTGTGCAGGCTTTTGCTGTCGAAGAGCGTCTTGTACGACAACATGAGGGGCACGGGCGCCGCGCCGAGCTTAGCCGCGGCATCGACGTCGACGATGCAGTCCTGGCGCACGATGAGGATCGTAAGACCGGCGGGCCCGATGTTCTTCTGCGCGCCGGCGAAGATGACGGCGTGGTCGGCGAGGTGGGGAATCCGTCGGGACATGAACGACGAGGAGTAGTCCGCGACGAGCGGCAGCAGTCCGCTGCCGTTGCCCATTTTGAGGAGGTTGAACGGGAAGAACGCCGCCGCGCTCGCGTCGTTGGAGAACTGGACGCCGTCCACGGTCTCGTTCTCGCAGTAGTAGATGAGCGCCGGATCGCGCGAGAACGCGTACTCGGCGTGCGGGGGGATGTTGTCGAACGATTTGCCGTCCTTCGAGTAGTTTCGCGCGTCCACGGCGATGTTCACGCGTCCCCCGCCGAGACGCGCTGCCTCCTGCGAGGCCTTTTGGCTCCACGAGCCCGTGAGGACGTAGTCCATCACGCGTTGGTCATCGCTCAGCTCCGGGTGGAGAAGGCGGTGGCGCGCGAGCATGTTCATAACGACGGCGGAGAATTGACCGGTCCCGCCGCCTTGGGTGAAGAGGATGGAGTGCGTGGGCGGGACCTCGAGTTGCGTGCGGATGAGTGACTCAAGGTTGGAGATGAAGGAGGTGAATTCTTTCGAGCGATGTGAGATCTCGGCGATGCCGATACCGGTGTTGTTAAAGTTGAGTAGACCTTCGGCTGCCTTCTCGAGAACAGTGTGGGGGAGCGCAGAGGGCCCCGCACCAAAGTTGATGACGCGCGAACTAGCCATGGAAGTAGATCAAGGATCAGTCAGTCAGACTGGACGGCGTTCCCCTTCAGAGTCAGTTGCAATGTATGTGGGATTGCGGTACGCGCCTGGAGAGGTCAATGGCCAGGTATAGGAAGATGATCTGCAGAAGCGCAAGTCAGTACGTACTAGACTTGCAAACCGAAAATCTCGGCGTCAGTGTCCGCATGTCTTTAAATCCGGAGAAACCGTACGTGAATTGACTCTCGATCTTGAATTCGGAGTGACGGACGACATAATAGTAATTTTCGTTGGCGTTTTGCTTCAAGTGCACACGATCTTGTGGTCCCAGGAATAACACGATCCCGTTATCCCTGGTAGTATGCCAGCCTAGGAGCTCGAGGGTCGCCCCCCAGCGCGTGTTGTTGACGAAGCGGAAGCTGACATCGTAGTTGTATTGGTTTGCCATGGAAAGCCGACGCAGAGGCGAGGAGGGGAGTGGGGGCTTAGTGGTGGGGTACAGGTGAGTTACCGTCAACGTCGTGCCTCTGCTCCCCTCTTAAATACACCAGGATCGGAGCACGTTCCGGGGGCGGAGTCTTGTTGTGTTCTCAATCAGGCGCGATGATGCTGTACACATCTTTGTCCATGAGGTTGGCTCACATCCTCGTGTATGATTTCCTATGCTCGCTCACACATGAGGACGCTAGAACTTGCTTTGTCCTGGCCTCTGGGACCTGTCCGTGTAATACGATCCGGCATAAACCCAGACTGTTCCTCATACTGTCATCCCTTGATACGACTTGGGATCCGCGGTCAAGGCATAAATTGCGACAAGGCCTAACTGGGATACAAAACCCAACTTCTTTGTCGGGAGCTAAGTTGTATTCAACGTCACTCACTTCTGATCGCACATTGAAGCAAACCATATTACAACAAACAGAGCACCGACGGGTACCAAGCGATTCGTAATTATCATAGCAGAAGTCATAAGTATGTACGATTCGGATATCAGCTGCGAAATCGTCCAATTCACCATCCAATGCTGGGGAGCTTGAAGAAGGGCTTCTTCATAAAGTCCACCGTTATATCCACGCAGAACAAGTCCTCATCGTCAGACGTGTAACCCTTAGCTGCGACCTTGAATTTCGCTAAAGGAGTTGATTAGGAAGGTAGGCGGGGACTGCGAGGGGTGCTTTGTGACGCACCTTGGGGAATCTCCTTGGGAAGGGTAACTGTCTGCACAACTGTGTAGTCACCCTTTTCGACCGGGCAGGAGACTGAAGCGTTGGCATTACGTCTGACGATAGAAGTTGACACAGGAGCACAAAGTGAGAAGAAAGACGGCCTTACGCTTCCTCGCACAGATTGAACTCCTTATGAAGTAGCTTTATCAAACCCAACTTCACGACGACGTCCGCATATGCGCCCTCCTACACGCGCAAGGCAGTGACGCTTATCAGCAATCGACGCGGGCAAGAATGTGATTGAACGAACCTCGACAGTCTTTAGGGCAGAGGCCTTGACCGTGACGGTCATTTCCTCTCCAGGTTTGGGTGGGCTGGGAGAGACCTCAATGGAATCAATTTGTATATCATCGGAAGCCGAACCTGGAAAGCCATGAGAGAGGAGCGATTGAGTATTGGCTAAGACGCACCGCAGTTATCCCAGCCCCATCCTTCTGTAGTCCGTACTGGTTGGTCTTCAGCACTGAGAGCTACCTGGTCTGACAGGGGGGTAGCATGAGAGATGGAGAGGAGGGTAAGTGCGAAGAAAGCGGCAAGGGAAAAACGAGCCATCGAGGGCGAAGGCGAGGTGAAGGCGAACCCCAGTACAGCAGACTTGGAGACCGAGGGGTACCGTGACTGTGTTTCCTGTCACGAAAGTCACTCCCATTTGTCACGAAAAGCGTTACTCTACGTCACCCACTGCTCTGCTGCGGGACATGAGAACTGAATACAGCTCTCCACACTGCACAGGCTTCTGGTTGCCCTTCCCTTTCTTTCCTCCATCTCCCAAACCTTTGAGCGATCTCCTGAGGAAGGTCTCTTCTTTGCTCGCAGCTGTCCGTTTCATCCTCCTTTTGCTGTAAACTTTACTTCAATCCTATACACTCCCTTTCCTCCTACTCAGTGCACGCAATTCCAAAATGAAAGCAAGAGATTACTGCTGTTGCGCGATCCCGACCGTCAACGCAGGTATCTATGGTGTTCTCTTAAAACAAGCCGTGCTAGGCATCCTAGTGGGCACCCTTGCCCTTGCGACCCCTTCCAGTGAGCTTCTATCCGTTTTCACTACCGTCCTTGCTGACCATCCACCGCAGTCGTCGGTGACGCTTCTCCTTCATTCGCACCTTGGATCCTGGCCATTATCTGTTATGCTGGCGCTGTAATCCAAGTGCTTGGTTTCATCGGTGTTGCCAAGGTTCTTATCTCTCTCTCAAACCTGAGGTGAACCATGCAACTAAATGGTTCTTTCCGTAGGAGAAGTCGGTCTTGTTCCGTCGATACACAACGTTGCACATTATCGTCACTCTCGCTGCATTCTCAGTGGCCGCTGTCTGGATCGGGCTGTCCGCTGGCCGTCATGATAATGCGCAGAGCCAATGCGAACGGGACTTCTTCTCAACGAACAGCACAACAAACAGCAACGCCGTATCCTCGGAAGGTCAGACACTGTGCAACATATTCCCTTGGGTAGATGTTGGTGTCATGGGTGGGATATGGCTTTTATTAGCCATTTCTCAGGTATGGATCTTTGCTGGCCCCAACCTGATTTCTTCAAATGACCATCCGGCCCTCAGCTGTATTTCTACACGGTCGTGTCTGGTTACGGGTCGGGGCAACGCGCAGATCACAAACGCTACGATTCCGTGTACTCGGTCACCAACCTCAATAGCGACATTCCTATGCAAGACCGCTCGGACCCTTGGGATGCACGCGAGGATGGGTTGGGCGGCAATGGTCGCTATGGGCATGCGCGGAATGAAAGCACCACCAGCGACGCCGCGATGCTGGAAGGGGCCTACAACCAGCCTTATGCACAGCCTTACACAGACGACCCAGCCTACCCTACAGGCGCCCATACACAGACATCTGCGCCCACACCCCACGCACAATACAACATCCCGTCGGCGCCGTCCTCAGCACAATACAACGACCCGTACTACAACAGTGGATACAGCACCGGTGCCGATGTGGCCCAAC